TCTTTTGGGCCACTTGCAAACGAGTCTCATTCTTCTTGACACGTGCTCCACACGCCACGATAACCACTCTGGAGTCTTTGGTAGCCTCAACGTTGCAAGTTGGCTCCAGGTTACAATTGTTGAGGAATATGAGCCGTGCTGCAGGTCCAAGGACTCGGCTTTACACAGTTTCTCATTGATATCGTAGAGAGCCAGTGATTAGTAACGCCCTTTGCGAGCAACGATATGGCACACCCCATGCCAACAGCGCCGGAGCCGATGACAGAAACCTGTTGCCAAACTCGTAGTCCTGTTTATCAAAACTTTTATACAGACAGGTACGAAACGCATTCAAAAGTTTCTGCTCTTGCAGTTGGAGCTCGACATTCTGCGAAAGGCAGTGGCACGTTCAGAATATACTGTAACGGCCTTCGCATGCAACCGTCTTATGCCTCTCCTAGTAACGCATGATGTGGGTGTATTTGAATGCCGCAAAGGAAGTACTTGATGATCATGCCGAATGCTCTCACATAAGATTTTAGCAAAAATTTAGAATCTACCAAAAGAAGAACAACTTTCAGAAACACATAAAATCTTAAATAAAAAAATGACAATTGTTAGCTGGGTTACTACGAGAAAAAATGTTTTTTTTTTTTAGTCATATTTCATTTTTTTTTATTACTGTTACAATTTTGATTATGTTAAACATCTCAATTTTTATTTTTACTGGTTTCGAGTGCTTTCATATTCAAGGATTTAAAAAGCAAACGACGAAATTTAAGCAAGAATAGGCAGACAGCACGCCTGATTTGAAATGCTATCACCAGATATATTCACTTTCGAGAGATATTTTTGAACCATGGTAATCCTTCAGAATGATACAGAATGTGGATTCCATACAGTTGGTTCAGGTTAGCAGAAGCTATATATCGCAATATAGTATGGATATTTGTATTTTTTTTTTTTTTTTTTTTTTTGTATGATGGGATGTTTTCATTCGGTTAGAGTTGAAGGTATATATGAGCATAACTTAGCTAGCATAGACTAAATCTTGATTTCTTTTCTCTTTTTGACCTTGCCGTGGCAAAAAAAAAAAACAACGATCATTTTAAAGGGTTTTATGGGCAGCAGGTATAAAGCTGTGCCAAACCAAGCAAACTATATATTTATTAAGGATATTAAACTTAACTGAAGGCTCGGTTCATTTTTTGCTACAGTTAATTGTTTTCTGTGCGTCCAGCAATACGTCTGCGGACCTTTTGAGCCTTCTTTCCTCCCAACCGGAAAGCTGAGGATGTATTACACCATACAGTCCACACTGGTTGACAATACATGGCAGGGATAGAAACACTTCATCGTCGATTCCACACATGCCCTGGGCATTAGTTGACAATGACATGATTCGATTGCTGTTTTCAAAAATGGCAGACACAACGTCTGTAACGGTGAGGCCAATGGCCCAATTAGTATAACCCTTACCCGCGATTACTTTGAAGGCCGAATCCACCACGCTCTCATGCACATTTGACCAGCGCATCGGATCTTTATCGGTGCCAATGGTAGGAAGCATATTCTGCAGTCGGGTACCTCCCACGGTTACGGAGGACCACAATGGCACAGAGCTATCTCCATGCTCGCCCAGCACGAATCCATGCACCGAACGCGTCGACACCCGCACCAGCTGCGCAATAAACATGCGGAATCGGGCGGTATCCAAGTGACATCCAGGACTAAAACAGCGCTCATAGGGCAGTTTGGTTACTTTACGGGCTACCCAGGCCATTACATCTGCTGGGTTTGATACAATGATGAAGACTCCTTTGGGGCTTTGCTTAACTAGCTCAGGAACAATTTCTTTTATAATGCCCGCTGATTTTTGGGCCACTTTCAATCGCGACTCGTTTTGATTACAGCGAACTCCAGCTGTTACAACTACCACTCTCGAATCTTTGGTGCACTCGACGCTGGTGCAGTGGTCAATATTGCAATTATTAAGAAAAAGTGATCCATGTTCCAGGTCCATGCACTCTGCAGCACACAAGTCCTTCTTCAAGTCGTAGAGAGCTATGTTATTGGTGATACCCTTGGCAAGCAAGGCAATGGCACAACCCATGCCCACGGCCCCAGCACCAATGACAGACACCTTATTACCGGGCTGAAATTCTTGTTTCTCTAGTGTTTTGTAAAGAATTGAGCGAAATGAAGTAGGATTTAGTTTTTGAGCCTCTTCCTCGCTCTTCTTCTGAACCGCATTCTCGCACTCGTTTAGAGGCTCGGCTTCATTATTTTTTGTGCTCGGAGCATCTGCTTCGCAATTTTTCTTTTGACTCTCCTCTTGTTTCTTGTTTTTAGCGGCGTCTTGCATTTTTTTCCAATTCACACCTTTTCCTGAGGGCCATCTCCTCCACCTTTTTCTTGAGTTCTTGGCACTTTTTCTGTTAAAGCTTCCGCTTCGCATTTTTTCTTTTAGAGCCTCTGATTCCTTTTTAATTTGAGCATCTTTTTGATTATACTAGCACTGTCTTGCGGTTTTTTTCATGGCACACTCTTCCTTGAAAGCCATCTCTTCCATCTTTTTCTTCAATTCTTGCACTTTTGCCTCTAAAACTTCCTGTTCGCATTTTTTCCTTAGAGCCTCTATTTCCTCTCTAATCCTGAGCATCTTTTTGTTTCTCTCCAGAGGTTTCTTGCTTTTTTTTCATTGTGCACTTTTCCTTGACAGCCATCTCTTCCACTTTTTTTTTAAGTTCTTGACACTTTTTTCGTAGAGCTTCCTCTCGCATTTCTTTTTTAGAGCCTCTCCTTTTTCTTTAGAGCTTCCTCTTCGCACTTTTTCTTTTGAGCCTCCTCTTCTTGTTTTTTCTTTTCAGCGGCATCTTGAGTTTTTTTCATTCGCACCTTTTTCTGAGAGCGTCCTCTTCCTCCTTTTTCTTAAGTTCTTGGCACTTTTTCTGCTGAGCTTCCTCTTCGCATTTCTTTTTTAGAGCCTCTTCTTGTTTCTTCTTATCAGCGGCATCTTGAATTTTTTTCATTTCGCACCTTTTCTGAGAGCGTCCTCTTCCTCCTTTTTCTTGAGTTCTTGGCACTTTTTCTGCTGAGCTTCCTCTTCGCATTTCTTTTTTAGAGCCTCTTCTTCTTGTTTCTTCTTATCAGCGGCATCTTGAATTTTTTTCATTTCACACCTTTTTCTGAGAGCGTCCTCTTCCGCCTTTTTCTTAAGTTCTTGGCACTTTTTCTGCTGAGCTTCCGCTTCGCATTTATTTTTTAGAGCCTCTTCTTTTTTCTTAAGAGCTTCCTCTTCGCACCTTTTCTTTTGAGCCTCGTCTTCTTGTTTCTTCTTTTCAGCGGCGTCTTGAAGTTTTTTCATTTCACACCTTTTTCTGAGAGCGTCCTCTTTCGCCTTTTCTCAAGTTCTTGGCACTTTTTCTTTTGTTCTTCCTCTTCGCATTTCTTTTTAAGAGCCTCTTCCTTTTTCTTTATAGCTTCCTCTTCGCACTTTTTCTTTTGAGCCTCCTCTTCTTGTTTCTTCTTTTCTGCGGCGTCTTGAATTTTTTTCATTTGGCACCTTTTCCTAAGAGAGTCCTCTTCCGCCTTTTTCTTAAGTTCTTGGCACTTTTTCTGTAGAGCTTCCTCTTCGCACTTTTTCTTTTGAGCCTCCTCTTCTTGTTTCTTCTTTTCTGCGGCGTCTTGAATTTTTTTCATTTGGCACCTTTTCCTAAGAGCGTCCTCTTCCGCCTTTTTCTTAAGTTCTTGGCACTTTTTCTGTAGAGCTTCCTCTTCGCACTTTTTCTTTTGAGCCTCCTCTTCTTGTTTCTTCTTTTCAGCGGCGTCTTTAATTTTTTTCATTTCGCACCTTTTCTGAGAGCGTCCTCTTCCTCCTTTTTCTTAAGTTCTTGGCATTTTTTCTGTTGAGCTTCCTCTTCGCACTTTTTCTTTAGTGCCTCTTCTTCTTGTTTCTTCTTTTCAGCGGCGTCTTTAATTTTTTTCATTTCGCACCTTTTTCTAAGAGCTTCCTCTTTCGCCTTTTTCTCAAGTTCTTGGCACTTTTTCTTTTGAGCCTCCTCTTCTTGTTTCTTCTTTTCAGCAGCGTCTTGAATTTTTTTCATTTGGCACCTTTTTCTGAGAGCATCCTCTTCCGCCTTTTTCTTTTGGGCCTCTTGTTGTTTCTGTAAAGCTTCGTCTTGTATTTTTTTCAATGCGCATTTTTTTCTTCTGAGAGCTGCCCTCCTCGCACTTTGCCTTAAGAGCTTCTTTCTCCTGTTCTTCTTTCTCTACTTCGCACTTTTCTTTAAAGCCTCCTCCTCGCAATTTTTCTTTTGGGCTTCTGCTCCTTCTTTTGGGGATCGTCTTCCTTCTTATTTTGGGCCCCCTCTCTTCTTGATTCTTATTAGGCCGCCTCTTTACACTTTTTGCGTAAAGCCTCCTCCTCAACATTTTTCCTAAGGGCCTCCTCTTCACATTGTTTCTTAAGGGCCTCTTCCATGCACTTTTTCTTAACTTTTTCGATTCACCTTTAATAAAAGCTCCTCCTCGTTTTTTAATTTCATCGCCTCTTCTTCTAAAGCCTTCCGTTGTGAATCTTTTCACATTCGTCCTGATCAGCATTCGTTCCTCTCCGATTTCATTACTCGTTTTTCTTTGGATGTACGTCCTTTCTATCTTAGGCTTTACTGTTACCACTTTCCCGCGCACATTTCTGTCAACACTTCTTTCTACATTTCTCTTTAACAAGCTGCGACATGCATTGTGAGATCGGGCTAGCTGCATCTTTTCACTATTGCTTAGTGCATTCCGACACTGACAGATATCTTCCCACTCTTTTTGAATACATTTCTCTAATTTCAAAGTAAATTGATTTTTAGGCCCATCGGAGTTATCAAACGGATTCTCCTTATTTGCCAATTTACAGCATATAGATTCTATTGATCGCTTTGTTCCAAGTCATCACCTCCGTTTTGTTTTTTAGACTTTCCTTACTTATTTGATCCTTTACTTTTTCTTAACCTTCTCCGTTTTTTGACTTGTTTTTCGATGTTTCTTTTTGCTGGCTTTGATCTTTCTCTTTTTGGCTTCCATTACCATCTTTTCTTACGGTACCTTCCTTACTTCCCTTCCTCCCTTTCTTTGATTTAAGCTCCTTCGGTTTTTTAGACGATTTTTTTGAGTCCTTTTCCTCAGCAGACTTTTTTTTCTCGCAATGCCTCAATAATTTCTTGATCTTATCATTTTTAGCCATCATTGCCAATTTGTTTTCAAGTTCTTTATCATTGCAAAGCTTCTTATGAGCGAGTTTTTTACACGCCTTCTTCATGCCTCTGTCAAACATTCAATTCATACTTTTCCATTAATTTTTTTTCCTTCTGGTCCATACAATGCATTGCGTCATCCAGAAGCTTCTTTTGACTTTTCATACATTTTCCTCATATTCTTAAGTTTTTCTTTTTCTTTCAGCTTCTTGCAGGCCGCTTCTAGCTTCTTCCTTTTCTTCTCGCTTTTTATCCATTAATTTCGTGTAGTATTCACAAGGATTTGGCTTGTCTTCAGAGGAATCCGAAGAATCCGATTTTTTACAAAAGCTCACGCGTTGCATGAACTTTATCGAAGTCCTCGGCAACGCATTCGATCCAAATAGCCCGTAAGCAGAAAAATGCTTCTCAAAACGGACTTACGGGACATAAATGGATGTAAACTATTAAAAGACATGCTGTAGGCCTTATTTAAATTTTGACGCCGCAAATAACGAAAATAATAAAATTTTATGTAGTCCAAGAAATTGTTGTGGCTAAAATTTTGACATTATTGAGGCCCGAAAAAAAACTGTTTCGTACACTAGTCTAATTGTAACTGAGCTGCTTTTCAAATATTAAACTATACACTTTTTGAATGAGTACTAGATATGCATATAAACAGGTTAGTTAGCACGGAAAAATAATTGTACAATAAAAATAAAGATCCCATTTATTCCCTTTCTTTGATTCTCAGCCTTTAATATAAGTAAATTAATTTTGGAAAATGCAGGAAACTTTTAAGCTAATCTAAATGAGTAGCATGCATTTCATAGAATCCTTTAATTATTTTATTTACCGCTTATTTGTATTTTAAGCAGATGCAATTAAGAAACATCCGTCAATACCCGATACATACTATATCCAGTTGTTGTTCCAATACAAGCAAAAACGCTAAAAAAAAACAGCAACATCGCTTCCCACTTTTCATGTTTACACAATTGTTAATAAAATATTAATGGATGTTATTGGCTCCAAATTAACAACCGACTTTATTCATCTACCTGATTTTGAGATATTTACGTTAAAAGGAACAAGTTTTTATTTAAAAAAAATGTATATAATCCATGGCGTGAGGGCTACTTGACTATATTTTCAGCGTATCATTCGGTTATTTGAATGGATCGCATTCACACCCCTTAGTTGCGGCATCTTTCTGTTTTATTTTTTTTTTTAAGAGCCTCTTCTTCGCGCTTTTTCTGATGAGACTCCTGTTCACATTTTCTCTTGAGGGTCGTCAAATTTCTTTTGCAGAGAGTCCTGTCATTGTTTTTCTTCAAAATTGTCTCTTCTGCCTTTCTCTTTAGATCCTCATCTTCTTTAGCTTTTTTAAGAGCCTCTTCTTGATTAAGAGATTCCTCCAGCTTTTTTCTAAGAGCCTCTTCTTCCATCTTTTTTTCTTGGGCCTTTTCTTTTTGCTTTTGACTCGCCTCTTCGCACAGTTTTTTAAGCTCCTCCTTTTCTTGGCTTTCTTAAGAAGCTTGTCCTCGCACGTTTTCTTAAGTGACATCAGCGTTTTGCGTAAAGTTGCTTCGTTGCAATTTTTCTTTAGAGCATCGGCATCTTCTCTTCTTTTTTGAGGCCTTTTCTGCTTCCTTTGCCATTAGGGCATCTTCTTCTGTCTTTTTTTTAAGAGCTTCATCTTCTTGCTTTTTCCTGAAAGCTGCTTCTTCTGCTTTCTTTTATTAGCCTCTTCTTCTTTCAGTTTATTAAGCGCTTCCTCTTCCTGCTTTCTCCTTCTTGCCGCCTCCTCACACTTATTCTTTAGAGCCGCCTCTTCTTTTTTAAGAGCCTCTTCAGCTTCTTTCCTTACTGCATCCTCTTCTTTATTTTTCTGTTCTTTATTTTTCTTGGGAGCCGCTTCTTTACGCGTTTTCTGTGCGGCTTCCTTTTCGCACATTTTCTTTGGAGCATCATCCTTTTTTGTTTTTTTCTTGTTGCTCGCATCTTGTTTTTTCATGTGAGCTGACTTTTTGGCATTGTTTATTAAGTTCTTCCTGACAACTTTTTTCGTTTGTACGATCACCTTGATTTTTCCGTTTTATCTGCCCCCTTAGATTGATTCTGAAAAGCTTCCCCCATACACTCGCCTTGCTGTTTCTGTTGAGCCTCTGCCTCGCACTTTATTTTCTTAGCTTCCTCTGTTTTAATCTGTTTCTCTGGTTTTTTTTTTTGAGCCTTATCGTCATTCTGATTTTTTTTAGGCATGTTCTCACACGGTTTCTTAGGATCCCCCGCGTCTGTCTTTTTCTTTTGAGCCTCCGTATTTTCAGCTGTCTGTTTACACTCGTTCTGCTGCGCTCGATCTCCTTGATCATCCTGCTGTTTTTTATCGAGCTTACATTCCGAGTTTGGTTCTGCAGATGTGCCACACATCTCGTTCAATACCTTTATTTTGCACATATCCTTTATTTGAGCGGCAAAGCACTTGTGAGAAAGTGTAAGCTTTTCCTGCTCTTCTTTTGTTAGGCTTTTACGAGTCTCACAGATATCGGCCCACTCTTTGCGAATGCATTTCTTTAGTTTCAGTAAGTATTGCTCTTTTGGACTGTCCGATTTTTCGGTCGGTTCCTTAGTTTTACACAATTTTAAGTAGAGACATATATTTTCTATTGGATCCACGTTTTCCTGACACAGTTCGGGCTTATCACTTTTATCTTTATTTGACGATTCAGCCTCCACCGATTTTGCTGAATCTTTTTGGCAAACTATCTTTCGCTTTATCGGCCATTTTGTCTTGATTTTGTTGTTTTACCTTTGTTTTTTCTTCGCTTTCTATTTTTTTCTGTGGTTTGTCATCTTTTTTTTCCGCACCGTCTTTTTTCTCATTTTTGGACGCATCTTTCGGCGATTTTTTCAGGGATTCTTTGCAAGAGGCTATTTTTGTTTTGCCAGATTCACGATGCTCGGCTTTTTGATTTTTTACCTTTGTTTTTTCTTCGTTTTCTATTTTTTTCTGTGCTTTGTCATCTTTTTTTTACCGCATCGTCATTTTTCTCTTTTTTGGAAGCATCTTTCGGCGATTTTTTCAAGGATTGTTTGCAAGAGGCTGCTTTTGATTTGCCAGATTCCTGATGCTCGGCCTTTTGCTTCTTACACTGTCCCAACAACTTTCTGATTTTATCTTTTTTAGCCAATTGGGCACACTGATGTTCAAGATCTTTTTCTTCTTTGAGCCTCTGCTCGGCTCCTGTCTTACATGCCTTTTTCATGCCTTTTTCCATGCACTGCATCATACCTTTTAGTACCATTTGTTCCTCCTTGCTCATGCTCTGCATCTCCTTATCCAAAGCTTTCTTTTTTCCGCCAAACATAATGTCTCGAATATCTTTAGCTTTTCCTCATCTGTCTTTTTCCCCGCATCATTTTCCTTGTTACAATTCACTTTCTCCTCTATGTTGATGTGTTCTGTATCCGAAGAACCAGTACCAGAACCACATTTACTACTAAAGGGAAATCTCTGAAAGTTGTTTAACGAGGCCCTCGGTAGATGCGTTCGCTCCTCATAGTCGGTTATGATGAGGAAACGCCTCTGGTGAGGGCTTTTCGCAGAAAAATGGTAGTAAAGCCGACCAAAAAACATAGTCGGTGGATTCTAAAATTTTGTGGACCAATTAACCAAACTATACCAAATGTCTTTACTAGATGTAGTGTAAATTTTGGCTTATTTTATTTACAGTTTTGGCTAAAATTTTGACATAATTGGAGCTCTAAAATAAACTAAGTGAGATGCCTGAATTTTTTTTTGACTGTGTAGATTTTAAAAATTTTGAATTGTCCCATTATTTGTAAACTTTGCAATAGGACTTGCTCCCATTTGTACACAGCGGGCCGTATCGTTTCTGTCATTCAAATGTAGCATATAACACAAGAGGCTCAAGTCAGGAGTTTCCGACTAGGAGGTGCCCTGAATCCTCTTCTACCAACTCCATATGCCGCTCACGCTACGTGCTCGTTTGCTCTAGCGTTAATAAAAATAAACTTACAAAAATCTCGTGCCCTTAATAGGACTCGAACTCGTATCACTACTTGCAATCGTCTCTAATGGCTCAACAGCAAAACCAACAACTATTCGATACTGAAAAATTAACTAATTTAAATAGCAGAACATGCGCACAGCACAGAATAAAATACAAATCCAATTTTTCAATATATCCCATTGAATATTTGTACAATCTCAAAATGTCAATTGCATTTTAATTGTGGCTTAAATTGGTGGGCAATACAAATTTGTTTATTTACTTAACTTATAGATATGTGTTGGTAGCGGGAAGGTTGCGATAGCTATAAAATGAAAGATACTTTATATATATATGTCGGAACAGAGAAATCACTTTCTTTGCAATTAGGCATACTGGCAGTACAGCAAGTCCCGAGTGTCGTTATAGTCACAAAATAATTATATTTTTAGGAGCGAGCACGTCTGTTCTCTATGACTTCCACTTTTAGAATCAATAATTTTCATCGTCCTCGAGCATACTACTCATGCTCTTGTCATTCTATATTCTTCTCTGACTTTTAGTACTGTTAGTGAACATTCAACACTATAGCAAACTGGACGTTATACAACACACTCGGGCCATGCTCGGCAGAGACTATCTTTTTTGTCTCACACCATGCTTTCAGTAGCAACCCTAATACAAGTAGGACAGTTATGTTAAATAGCAGTACCTTCTGTCAAATTCTCTGATTCTTACTAACACTTAATCGTTAGCATTCAAAATAATACTCACAATAATTTATTGGATACACGACACGGCCTTCCTGACATTTCACACGTCCTCGTGTGTACATTTCGCTTAGATCATGCCATAGTCAAAATTGTTGGGTAAAATTTATTAGTCATTACTTTACTTTAAGAATAGCTTTACAAACAGCAGTATCATCGGTCATTGTAGGTTTTATTTTTTTTTATTTTTTTTTTTTTTTTTTTTTTTTTTTGTTGTTGTTCTGTCATCACACGTCTATAGGCTCTTGCTGCCCAGCAACGATAACATGGAGCGGATCCATACAGGTCTTTCAACCTCTGACCCCCGCCATAATATCACCCGCTTCAGCACGCCATGATCGAGCACTTGTGCACGGCGTGAGTATTATGGTGCGGTCTTAGCCATCGTGTATGAGCCCAACCGCACTCTCTCTTAGTGCCACAGTGTCTTGAGCAATGTCCTCAACATTGTCACACTCATCATCTCTCAAATCTATCAACTCCTCCGATACATTGTTGCTTGGAAAAGCTCGCAAATACTCATGTGCATACTTAAACGTGCGCTTACTCGTCAATGACTTTAATAAATATCTGTCTCCATCAAGTATTTCGATTATCTCAAAAGGTCCCTTAAACTTGGGATCTAACTTCGTTTGATTTCGTTCTTCCCTCTTGAGTAGGACATGATCACCAAGCTTATATTTTACAATTTTTGCTTTATTTTTATCAAACCTAGCCTTATCATATTTAGCGTTATTCACCATGTTATCTTTCGCTTGTGCTCTTATTAAATCTTTATCAATTGTTTTTTCATCTGATATTGTTATCATTCCTAACGGCCTTGCCTCTTTACCGATTAGCAATTCTAACGGACTATATTTCGTTACACGATTTGTCGTGCAATTTATTGCCAGCTGTATGTCTTTTAAAGCGTCTTGCCAGGATCGCTGACTACTCTCAACCGCTGTGAGCATGCTCTTCAAGGTGCTCATGACACGCTCTACTTGGCCGTTTGCTCGACTGGCGCCCGTCGCAATCAGGTGTAAACCTATCTTCTGCGAAGAACAAAATTCCCTAAACCTTGTGCTAGCAAAACATTTACCCTGATCAGCTATGATGCGTGCCGGCACTCCGAATAGTGCAACAGTTTCTTTGACTGCCTTAATGCAGTTTTCCGTATTAAGGTTCAGCGTATGTTGAAGGTGAACAAATTTTGTGAATGCATCAACTTGAACTATGATGTACTCTTTTAAGTCGTTTTTGCCACTTAATTTTCCGGTTATATCAATATGCACAGTGTGCCAGGGTATGTCATCTTTAGGAATCGGGTGCATTTCTATTTGTAGCTTACCAGATGGTGGTTTTGACACTCTACAGGTAATGCAATTTTCTACAAACTTTTTCACATACTTAGACATCTTCTCGAACCAGTAGTTGGCATACATTTTGTCTAGAGTTTTCTTCCACCCTAAATGCATTATGGCTTCGTGAACATTGTTAATGACTGACCATCTAAAGGCTCTAGGTATTACAGGCAAACATTTTGTGCTGCCATTTCTTTGAATCCTTCGATATAATACTCCTGCTCTCAATTCGTACGACGCTGAGATAGCTTCTCCCATCTTATGGTTTCGCAATTTTAAGGTTATGGAAGCAATGTCAGAATCTCGTTGCTGTTCGGCTAGAAGCCAATCGTCGGTTATCTCAGCTAGGTTTATGTGCATTTCAACCGTTTTCGCTGAGGATTTATAATCAGTAGGCAACGGATTGCGCGAGAAAAAATCAGCATGTAACATGCGTTCTCCCTTCCTGTATTCAATGCTGAAATCAAATGATTGCAGATATGCCCACCATCTATGTACCCTTGGGGTAAGGTTAATTTTTTTGATACTTGCTTTCAGGGAGTTGCAATCTGTATGCACAATAAATTTTTGACCATGTAAATAATGGCGGAAGTGTCTTACTGCGTTGTAAACTGCGAGGGTCTCAAGCTCGTATGAATGATATTTTGCTTCAGCCATTGTCGTACATTTGCTGTAATATTCAATGACTCTGGGTCTATTTTCTATCTTGTGCATTAAAATAGCACCATATCCAATAGAACTTGCGTCTGTATGTAATTCAATTGGCTTTAGTGGATCGAAAATTGTCAAAACGGAGTCATTAGTCAAAATTGATACGATTTTTTGACGAATTTCCTCATATTCCGGCTTCCAGACAAATTTATTATTCTTGGAGGTGAGATTATATAAAGCTTTCATCTGCTCAGAAAATTTTGGTACGAATTGCCTAAAATACGAGGCTAGGCCTATGAATTGTCGCACCTGCGTTACTGACTGCGGTGACGGCAATTCGGCCAACGCTTGTATCTTGCGTGGATTTGGTCGAATTTGACCCGCTTCAACCAAGTATCCTAAATATTCTATGCTTGTTTTCAAGAACGAGCATTTTGTAATGTTAAATGAGAATCCAGCTCTAGACAAGTTTTCCAAGACCGTTTGTAGCCTTTCAAGTGCCTCTTCCTTTGTCTTCGCTAGAATTAACACGTCATCTATATAGACGATGGCATACGTTTGAGCCAAATCACCCAATGCTCTCACGATTGCGCGCTGGAAAATCGAGGAAGCATTTTTTAATCCAAAAGGCATGGCCAAAAATTCATACTGTCCTTCTGGCGTGACAAAAGCAGTGCGCTCGATAGAGTCTGGGTGTATTGGAACTTGGTAAAAACCACTTGCCATGTCTAAACTGGAGAAATATTTGCCTTCACTCAGTCTATTAATTTGATCAGAAATCAAAGGCAGCGGATATTTGTCAGCGACCGTATTAGCATTCAGTTCCCGATAATCGACACATAGTCGATCGGTTCCATTTTTCTTTCTTACCATCAGCATTGGGCTTGCAAATGGAGAGCAACTAGGACGTATAACGTTTGCGTCTAACAATTCTTTTACTTTATTTCGCACGACTTCTTTTTCTTCTATGCTTAACCTATACGGACGCCTTTGTACAGTTTTATTTGGGTCAAGCAGGCGGATTTCAAGTTCACCCGTAGTCACTCGCGTTTGAGGAATACCCTCAATAAATTTATCAGCATAGTTTTGCAATAATTCTAGCAGACGATTCTTATCAGTGTTGCTTAATGCTCTATCGTTATTCAGATGCTCTACGTAACTTATATCTGGCACTTTTATTAGTACATCAACAGTTTTGGTTTTGTACATTTCAAATTTGTCGGCCTCGATGGAGACTCCAAAGCCTAATCCGAGTATATCACGGCCTATCAATACATCGTATTTCAAAAACTTATCCATTATTACATGAAATAATATTTCTAAGGAGTACTGATCAATTTTAACAGTAGCCAAGATTTGCATAGTGCTATACACAGGATTTTCTCCAATACCCCTCAAAACTATCAAATTATTAATTCTTTTTCCGGAAAATTTCTCGGCACAACTCTCTCTGATGAGCGTACATTCCGCTCCAGAGTCAAAACAAAATGGAACGAGCTCACCAGATTGACGCAGGATTCCTTTTGGCTCGGACACACAACAGATGTTTATACGCTTGTCATGTGATCCAACACCGCTCGTAGAAACTCCTTTCGTACATGAAGACGCAATGTGGCCAGCATCGCCACATTTGAAGCAGGTAACGGCAGATCGAACTTTAGGTAATGCTGAGTTTTTTGACACGTTGCCTTCTTCATACTTCCTCTTGCGACATTCGACCATTTTGTGTCCGAGGTTTCCACAATGATGACATTTAATGCCATATGTTTTCGATCTCTTGCGATCTGGTTCCATTGGGATATTTGGCTGTAGACCTCCATTTGACCTTCCATAAGCATAGGCCTTCAGATGCTGTTGCATCTCGTCTTGACTTTTAATATTAGTCGTATATAACATACGTTGCAGACTTTTGTCGATTTTCGATGTATGTGCCAAAACAACTGAGACTGCAATTTCCTCCATGTTCGCTGTCTTCCATTTGGATAAAAGTGAGGTCACAAGACGGCTCGCATATACGGAGAGGCATTCGCCATCATTCGGTCGGCCATTAAAAATGTTCATTAAAGTTGCCGCCGATGTTTCCATTCCCACGAAACGTTGCAAAAACAATTCCTTAAAATTTTGCCAGTTCATTCCAGTATAGCATATTTGAGAAAGCCAGGGCGAGGCGCTTCCTTCTAGGGAGCCGCTGAGGGTCATCACCAGTGTACTGCCCTCAATAGGATTATCGTCAAGTATTATGTCCACAGTTTTGCACCAGGCATTTGCATCTGCGCCTGCAATGTCCGGGTTGAACTTTGGCAACGAGATGCTCTTCTTTGTTGAGGATGCTGAATTTGACATCTGCATTGCTTTAATAATCTCAAGAATATTTCGATTTTGAGATTCCAAAAGCTGACGCCACGAATCGTCAGAATTGCCTCGTGGAGGGGCATCGCCTAATCCCACTTCTGATGTCGGAACAGAGAAATCACTTTCTTTGCAATTAGGCATACTGGCAGTACAGCAAGTCCCGAGTGTCGTTATAGTCACAAAATAATTATATTTTTAGGAGCGAGCACGTCTGTTCTCTATGACTTCCACTTTTAGAATCAATAATTTTCATCGTCCTCGAGCATACTACTCATGCTCTTGTCATTCTATATTCTTCTCTGACTTTTAGTACTGTTAGTGAACATTCAACACTATAGCAAACTGGACGTTATACAACACACTCGGGCCATGCTCGGCAGAGACTATCTTTTTTGTCTCACACCATGCTTTCAGTAGCAACCCTAATACAAGTAGGACAGTTATGTTAAATAGCAGTACCTTCTGTCAAATTCTCTGATTCTTACTAACACTTAATCGTTAGCATTCAAAATAATACTCACAATAATTTATTGGATACACGACATATATATGTATACTATTCTAGAACCCACATGTCTAGTATAGTGACTAGCTCTAAAAACAGGAGCTTGTCGAATATCGAAAGCAAAGCTAACTCTCCAGCTCTTATAGGTTCTTGCGTTCATACATACGGACGGACAGACATACAGAGACATGGCTTAATAACTCGGCTATTGATGCTAATCAAGAATATACATACTTTATGGTGTCAGATATTTCCTTCTGCATGTTACATACATTTGCACAAATACATTACATACATGATATCATATTGTAGTGTGATCTTGGTTTGGCTAATAGAAAGGGGGCCTAGTGAGACTATTAAATAAGTTTGGTCAAGATATCTTGATAAATAAAAATGTGCTTCACACAAGAGCTTAGATTTCGTTTGACACCAAAAGAAGCAACATGATAAGAGGATTGATTTCGTTTTTCAGAATGTACCCATATCTAGATTAACCCGCCCTTTTAAAGACTTTGTTAAAGGTTTAAATAAATTTTATTTACAAATACTCCCGTGGCGTGAAGGCAGGATTAATACATTTTTACATTTTCTAGGAGCCTGTTTCACGTAGTTTTCTCTGTATGCCGTTTTTAAAAATTATTTTGTCTTGTTCTTTACCGATGATGTTTAGGACAAGTGGTCCTTTTTCTTTTTTATTCCTTATGCACTTGGCTGACGTAAACTTACACTACTTTTTTGGAGCCTCCTTATCAGAACTTTTAGCCGCATCTGCACACTTTTTCTTCTCAGCAGCTTCTTTCTCTTTTTTAGCTGCCTCTGCACACTTTTTCTTCTGTGCTGCCTCTTTTTTCTTTTGAGCGTCCTCTTTGCACTTTTTCTTAAGAGCTTCTTGGTTACGTTTCTTTTTAAGATCTTCCATCTTTTTTTTGTTTTTTAAAGCAGCCTCTTTACACGTATTCTTAAGAGCTTCTTCTTTTCCATTCTTTTGGGATTCACACTTTTTCTTTTCAGCAGCTTCTTTCTCTTTTTTAGCAGCATCTGCGCATTTCTTCTTTTCAGCCGCTTCCTTCTCCTTTTTAGCGGCATCTGCGCACTTCTTCTTTTCAGCCGCTTCCTTCTCCTTTTTAGCGGCATCTGCGCACTTCTTCTTTTCAGCCGCTTCCTTCTCCTTTTTAGCGGCATCTGCGCACTTCTTCTTTTCAGCCGCTTCCTTCTCCTTTTTAGCGGCATCTGCGCACTTCTTCTTTTCAGCCGCTTCCTTCTCCTTTTTAGCGGCATCTGCGCACTTCTTTTTCTCAGCGGCTTCCTTTTCTTTCTGAGCCGCCTCAGCGCATTTCTTCTTTTCAGCAGCTTCTTTCTCTTTCTGAGCCGCCTCAGCGCACTTTTTCTTTTGAGCCTCTTCTGCTTCTTTTTTAGCAGCATCAGCGCATTTCTTCTTCTCAGCCGCTTCCTTCTCCTTTTGAGCCGCCTCAGCGCATTTCTTCTTCTCAGCCGCTTCCTTTTCTTTCTGAGCCGCCTCAGCGCATTTCTTCTTTTCAGCAGCTTCTTTCTCTTTCTGAGCCGCCTCAGCGCACTTTTTCTTTTGAGCCTCTTCCGCTTCTTTTTTAGCAGCATCAGCGCATTTCTTTTTCTCAGCCGCCTCCTTTTCTTTCTGAGCAGCCTCGGCGCATTTCTTCTTCTCAGCCGCTTCTTTCTCTTTCTGAGCCGCCTCAGCGCACTTTTTCTTTTGAGCCTCTTCCGCTTCTTTTTTAGCAGCATCAGCGCATTTCTTCTTCTCAGCCGCCTCCTTTTCTTTCTGAGCTGCCTCAGCGCATTTCTTCTTCTCAGCAGCTTCTTTCTCTTTCTGAGCCGCCTCAGCGCACTTTTTCTTTTGAGCCTCTTCTGCTTCTTTTTTAGCAGCATCAGCGCATTTCTTCTTCTCAGCCGCTTCCTTTTCTTTCTGAGCCGCTTCAGCGCACTTTTTCTTTTGAGCCGCCTCAGCCTCTTTTTTAGCAGCATCAGCACATTTCTTCTTCAGAGCTGCCTCTTGCTCTTTTTTAGCAGCTTCTGCGCATTTCTTTTTCTCAGCCGCTTCCTTTTCTTTCTGAGCTGCCTCAGCGCATTTCTTCTTTTCAGCAGCTTCTTTCTCTTTCTGAGCCGCCTCAGCGCACTTTTTCTTTTGAGCTGCTTCTGCTTCTTTTTTAGCAGCATCAGCGCATTTCTTTTTCTCAGCAGCTTCCTTTTCTTTCTGAGCTGCCTCAGCGCATTTCTTCTTCTCAGCAGCTTCTTTCTCTTTCTGAGCCGCTTCAGCGCACTTCTTCTTTTGAGCCTCTTCCGCTTCTTTTTTAGCAGCATCAGCGCATTTCTTTTTCTCAGCCGCCTCCTTTTCTTTCTGAGCTGCCTCAGCGCATTTCTTCTTCTCAGCAGCTTCTTTCTCTTTCTGAGCCGCCTCAGCGCACTTTTTCTTTTGAGCCGCCTCTGCTTCTTTTTTGGCAGCATCAGCGCACTTTTTCTTTTCAGCCGCTTCCTTTTCCTTTTTAGCGGCATCTGCGCATTTCTTTTTCTCAGCCGCTTCTTTCTCTTTCTGAGCCGCCTCAGCGCATTTCTTCTTCTCAGCAGCTTCTTTCTCTTTCTGAGCCGCCTCAGCGCACTTTTTCTTTTGAGCCGCCTCTGCTTCTTTTTTGGCAGCATCAGCGCACTTTTTCTTTTCGGCCGCTTCCTTTTCTTTCTGAGCCGCCTCGGCGCATTTCTTTTTCTCAGCAGCTTCTTTCTCTTTCTGGGCCGCCTCAGCGCACTTTTTCTTTTGAGCCGCTTCTGCTTCTTTTTTAGCAGCATCAGCGCATTTCTTTTTCTCAGCCGCTTCCTTCTCCTTTTGAGCAGCCTCTGCGCATTTCTTCTTCTCAGCCGCTTCCTTTTCTTTCTGAGCCGCCTCAGCGCACTTTTTCTTTTCAGCCGCTTCCTTTTCCTTTTTAGCGGCATCTGCGCATTTTTTCTTTTCAGCTGCTTCCTTCTCTTTCTGGGCAGCCTCAGCGCACTTTTTCTTTTGAGCCGCTTCTGCTTCTTTTTTGGCAGCATCAGCGCACTTTTTCTTTTCAGCCGCTTCCTTTTCCTTTTTAGCGGCATCTGCGCATTTCTTTTTCTCAGCCGCTTCTTTCTCTTTCTGAGCCGCCTCAGCGCATTTCTTCTTCTCAGCAGCTTCTTTCTCTTTCTGGGCCGCCTCAGCGCACTTCTTCTTTTGAGCCGCTTCTGCTTCTTTTTTGGCAGCATCAGCGCACTTCTTTTTTTCAGCCGCTTCCTTCTCCTTTTTAGCGGCATCTGCGCATTTTTTCTTCTCAGCCGCTTCCTTTTCTTTTTGAGCCGCCTCAGCGCACTTTTTCTTTTGAGCCGCTTCTGCTTCTTTTTTGGCAGCATCAGCGCACTTTTTCTTTTCAGCCGCTTCCTTTTCCTTTTTAGCGGCATCTGCGCATTTCTTTTTCTCAGCCGCTTCTTTCTCTTTCTGAGCCGCCTCAGCGCATTTCTTCTTCTCAGCAGCTTCTTTCTCTTTCTGGGCCGCCTCAGCGCACTTCTTCTTTTGAGCCGCTTCTGCTTCTTTTTTGGCAGCATCTGCGCATTTCTTCTTCTCAGCCGCTTCCTTTTCTTTCTGAGCCGCCTCAGCGCATTTCTTTTTCTCAGCAGCTTCCTTTTCTTTCTGAGCCGCCTCAGCGCATTTCTTCTTCTCAGCAGCTTCCTTTTCTTTTTGAGCCGCCTCAGCGCACTTTTTCTTTTGAGCCTCTTCTGCATCTTTTTTGGCCATATCTGCGCATTTTTTCTTCTCAGCATCTTCCATACATTTTTTTTTCAGTTCCTGCACCTCACGCCTTATATTAGCTTCTTCTTCACTTTTTTCCTTCATCATCAGTTTTTCTAATTCTTTATCCATTTTTGGCGGTTGCTCTGGTTTCTCTGCTTCTTTTTTGGCACGTTTGTTCTCTTTTCCTTGTCCAGATTCTTCACACATTTCTTTTAAGACCTTCTTTCTGCAGACTTTCTTAAATTCAGCCTCAAGACATTTGTGAGATTGCGCAAGTTTTTCCTTCTCTTGTTTAGTAAACTTACTTCGACACTGACAAACATCGGCCCATTCGCCCTTGATGCACTTTTCCAATTTCAATGTAAACCGATTTTTGGCCTTATCTGTGTTTTCAGCGGGTTTGTTCAAGGAAGAACAAATTTCTTCAATTGGATCTTTCTGTCCAGAGCATCCATCATCCTTTGGTTGCGCATCCTTGGACTGGCCATCCTTGGGCTGGCCATCCTTGGCCTGCGCGTCACCGTCCTTATTGTCCGCCTCACACTTACTCATTAACCCTTTAACTTTATCATTCTTAGCAAGTTCCGAGCACTGGGCTTCAAGTGCTTTTTCTTCCCCGAATTTCTTTTGGGCAATTCTTTTGCAAGCCTTTTTCATGCTCTCTGTCAGACAGGACATCATGCTTTGCATCAACTTTTGATCTTTTTTGTCCGCACACTGCATTTCCTGATCCAAAGCTTTCTTTTGAGCCTCCAAGCATTGCTTCTCCAGCAATTGTAACTTTTCTTCGTCCTTCTTTTTATTGGCGGCTTCTTCTTTCTCTTTTTTCAGTATTTCTTCACAGCCACCCTTGTTTGGATCGTCTGAGGATTCCGAGTCTGCCGACTTACTGAATGGCATTCGTTGCATGCTACTAAGCGAACTCGGCAAGTGAGTTCGGTCCATGCAGTCCGTCAGGTAGGATAGTCCCCTTAAAACGGGTTTACGCAGATGGATGGATGAGAACCGGTATAAAGACATGTTGAATTTATTAAGAGATAATTTTGTTAAAAGAAAAAAAAACTGTAATTTGGAAAATTCGGCTATAATTTTATTTTTGTGTTAGGCTAAAATTTAGACATAATTGAGGCCAAAAAGTGAACTGAATTGTAGGACTGACTATTTCAGACTAACTTATTTTTATCAAACGAAACGGAATATTTGCTTAAATAAACATATGAGTACTAGATGTAAAATAAAAATGCTTTCCTAGGAAATTGAGTAAAGCAAATTTGAAGAATGTGCATGTGTATGAAATGCAAGTTGACTAGTCTTTTACTTCTAATTTTAAAGAGCGATAGACTCATGGACACCTAGTAATTTTTTATAAGCGATTCTGCTGTTAATCATTTTATATATTTTTCCCATTCGAAAAAAAAATTGTTAAAATGTTTTTATTATTATCCAAATGAACTAATTCGCTTGCCTATTCATTATCTGCAAACCAGTTTTCATCCGAACCGGATAAGTAATATTTTATATACATATTTTTAAGCTGAAAACCAAAACGTTAGCGTATTAACCTGGAGCCCGAACCGAATCATATTTTTTCAAAAAATTGTCTGCTTTAGCATCAAAATTTTTCAGATAGAACCTGTCGCTTCGAGTCGTTAGCCAAGCCAATCACCATATCGACTCAAATTTAGTTCACTTAATTAAAAAATGCATAGATGGCAACCTTGTAGTTCCATCGCAGTGGTTGGTCTTATGATTCAGGCAGTCGAGTGAATCGAAACAAACAAGTACAGAAGTGGCGACAGCAAGGTCGTAGCCCAAAGTTGTCCCTGTCGTCTGATAGTCGCTGTAATCACTTAACATATGTATATTTAATAGCAAACATATTATAGCCAGTGGATAAGAACCAAGATAAGATCTCGCAAACATTTACACTAACCAATAATTCCATTAATGGAGACTACAGCCTAATGAGAGTTAGTTACACAAATGAGGAACTGGCATATATCATGTATTATCTGCTTTCAGGACTTATTTTCAAAGTGAAAAGAACGTATGCTCGCCTCAGTTAATTATTTCCACAGTTTTTTAAAGAAGGAATATTTATCAAAATATATACTTAATACCTATTATTTCTTTAAATGCACTTATTCTTAAATTTAAAAGCGACTTATGATGATGCTTAAATTGGCTTAAGGTCTAGTTTCGAGGGCATGAACAACGAGTTGGACCTACTTTTGTGGAACACAATAAAGTAATTAAGAAACGTATAAGCGAAAAAAGTCGAGTATGGTTGGGACGGTTGGAAACTGGCGAAAAGAAAAGATTTTTTACAAGCAAACAATTTAAATATAAATGTGTCACAGAAGTATCAGGACACAGACTCAACTACGATTTTGAATTCAGCTTTGCATTCGGATTCAGCGTAAACGATTCAAAAATTACCAACAAAAACAAGAACAATGGCAAAAGCAAGTTACACAAAATTAATGAGAACGTAAAAGTATTTGAATATAAAATGTTGCCAGCGCACACACGTAATTGCGGCGAAAGTTTTGAGTATACGTATGTGTGTGTGTGTGTCCGTGTGCGCCGTAAAATGTTAAAGCATACTTATGTGCGCCACTGTAGTCAGGTGTGTAGTCAACTTGGCTCGGCGTTGTCTGCTGTTGTCTGCTTGGCGGCGCATGAAGTGAAAATTAATTTCTAAATGCGGGAAATTAACAAATTACAAACAACGCGACAAGCGAAGGGTAAAGGGCAAAGGGCAGCAGGTGGCAGGCAGCAGGCAGCAGCAGGCGGAAGTAGACATGCCATAACTTACAAGCGCGCACACACACACATGTACTTGGCGCATTCATGCGCAGCAGCAAAGTTCGCTTTGGGGGCGGCAAGTTCCATGGAGAACTCAAGGTGTTGAAGCGCAGGTGAGACACATTGTCTTACCTTTGCCTGCCAGCCATGAAGTTGTAGACATATTTCTACACTCCACGCACACATGCACACACTCAAAGGCACCCCACAGCCCCGCCCGCTGACAGTTGACAGCTTTGCTAATTTCCAGCAGCCACCCACCGAAAATGAAGTCGGGCGTCTGTCTTGCGCTGCCATCACAGCCCGTACCCCTTTCCAGCCACGGCTTCCCCTTTTACACCTGGGCCCCCAACCACAGCCGATGCGGTCGCGCTTTCAACATTTAATTAAGTTGTGCTCGATTTTATGTTCGACAAAATTGTTTGTCTGCCGCCTGCACTTGCTGTTGCCTATTTTAAATCTGAAGAGTCAACGTTGCGGTGTGCGTGTGTGCGCGCGTGTGTGAGTGTGTGTGGGCCTGTGGGTGTGGCACTCGCTTGTCATGTCGCGGTTGTGGCTGTCGCTCGCGTTGTTTTCCTGTCATTTGCTGACATTTTTTGCGGCTAATGCAAAGAGATTTGAAAATTGTTAACAAAAAGTTAAAATACCTAAGTGCATGAAGTTACACATAATTAGAATATGCTTGTAGAAATTCACAAAACACACAAACATTCAAGCCAAGAAACTATCTTTAAATAAAACCATAAAGTTTCGGCTTACAGTGCAGAAAATTTTGAAGCTTCTAATTGATGATTGCAAATTATCCATCATCGAAAGCAAACTCGTTCTGCGCGGGCATTAGGAGGACCTAAATTCTAAACCAAGTCTCTAGTTCTTATAAATTCTGAGATCCTTGCGTTCATACATACGGACGGACGGGCAGGCGGACAGATAGACCGACATGGCTTAATCAACTTGTATATTGATGCTGATCATGAATAAATATACCTTATGAGTTCGGAGATATTTCCTTCCGCATGAAGCAACATGATAGTGAATAGCTTTGAAAATAAGAGATAGGTTTGCATATAAAAGAGAGAAGGATTGACAAATCTATACATCTGTTTATACTTATTAAGAATGTGTATGCTTTATGGTGTTCGGTATGTCTTCTTCATTTCATATAGTTTAAATTTGCCCGAATATTTTGTTAAATATTTTTATCAAGTGAGGCTCAATAAAATAACCCATTGCCTTTCCTTAAAAGGACCAACTTATAAAATTCACCAGGCCGATTAAATTTCGTATATGATGGCATGACAAATTACATTCCAAAAACGTCGCCTTGTGCTTAGTCTTGTCTATCACTACTACATAAAAACTATTAGACGGGCGAGCGAAAATCGCCCACCCAGAATGGTGCAGGGGGAGTGAAAATAAAAAAAAAAACGATTTATAATTGCGACTGCTCGTCTTGTCTATTGTCATTCGGTTGGGCAAGAAGACTGCTGGTGGGGAGATGACATGCGGTCGCCGCGTAGTCTGACTGTCTCCTAGGCAAAGATTCATCTTAAAGCCTCGATTTGCGCCATTGTCAGTGTCACCGACACAAAGACAGACTCGCGTCTGTGTGCATAGATACAAGTAGTTGTGCGGTTGGGGCTTGGCTCATTCATCAGTCGGTACTCATTCCACTGACGGCATTCATCCGTGCACTCATTTAGACATTTGCTGCGCATTTGGCATTGTTAACTATCCTCTTCCATTTCCCCTTCTATTGTTTTACCGTGTTTTTTGCTGTTTTTCTTTTTTTTTTCATTTGGAAGCTGCTACTGCTGCTGCTGCTGCTGTTGCTGTTGATTGTTGCACAAGGATTTGTCAAGGATAAAACACTCGAGGCCAGTCGAGTTGGTAGTCATGATTATGTTGATGTCTACGCTTATGATGATGTCCCTGTTCTTGTTGTTGTTGTTGTTTAGTTGCATACTCAGCATCGCTGCCAGCTGTTTGTGTTTAAGGTTAGATTGGGGCTGTGACGCCATCATAAGGACATTGTCATTGTAGCTGTTGCAGTTATTGTTGCCCCTTCAGCTTCTTCTGCTTGCTGTGGCGCATTATAAAACAGTTATTGATTTTGCGTTTAGAAATGGCTTATTGGCACACAGTCTGACGGCCTTGGAGTACGTCATGATATATGGATTATGCTGCAGCTCTTGTCTGTAATGTGATATTTCAGCTTAAAAACGAGCAACGCACATAACCTTTCAAAATATTGCTACACATCCTGTACTCATAACCACTTAAGTCCTCCTTGAGCTAATGAAGTTTATTAGACAGTAAGCCCTGCTAATTTTTCGTCTTAATATAAGTATGGACACATCTGAGAGAAAACCTCTTTTCACTGGTAGACCCTTAGATGTAGATATACGAAATTCGGTATGTGGAAAGTATAAATATTTAAAAGACCGCCAGTAAATCGTACGCTGCATACAAATTTAAGAATATGCAGAACACTTAATAAGCTTATCCCTAAACAGAGCGAAAAACTGCTGGCTGACAAGACTTTTTGTACTTGATTCTATATGACAAGAATTTCTTAAACAAGGTTAGAAATCCATTTAATATATTTCAACGTAAACTTAAATAAATCATTTATTTTCAGAGTTCGTTATATTAAGGAATAACTTGTGAACAATTAATAATATATAATTCAAGATTGATTGGGGCTTGTTGCAACAATAAATAAATCTTCTACCACGGTTAAGGCATACTTGCAATATGATCAGAAATTCTTGTTTCAAGGCTAAATTGATATTAATTAAAGACCAAAATGTGATAAATACAAGTATTTTGGATCATAAATTTAGTATGATTTCAGTTCTGGAGCTCTTGAATCTAGATTTATATAAGCTTATTTTAAGCTCAAACTGGGATTGTATTACGAACATATAGGTGTTACATTAAGAATCGTTAAAACTTACACTCTTATACTTAAAATAAGAATTTCATACCTGAATCAAGTATTACCGGTCTTACCTTACTTGATTCAAGATGATTTTCTCTCTCTCTCTGTATATATAAAATATATTGAATACGGAAATAAATAACAGGTTCATATTTAAAAAGAAATACATCAGCATTTATCTCAGAGAAACGTCAAGATATGATGTTAGTTTATTTTATCCTAGGCATACGCTTTTGCACTTAACAAGATACCCATAATACGTACAACTAAGTACCACAAATTTCCTAATACTGGAGTCTCACATATTTAGTAATAGAAACTAAGTGGTGCTTTGGGCAGATCTTAAAGCGACCTAATCCCGTTGCATCATTTTGTTTTACAAATTCGTTTACTTTTTACAACAAATTGAAGGAAGC